GCCGCCTTCCGATGTCTAGCTTTCACCTCCCTGGGTCCCCGCTGCCCGTGGGCCCCTCGCGGCAGGACGCCTCCAGCGGGAACCGGTACGCAGGGAGATGCGCCGAGATTCCTTTTCTTGGTGCCGCGCTCCGCCAGGGCTGTTAATCACTAGCTGATAACCAGCTTGCCTAACAAGCAGCCCTTCCGCCACGCCTGTGAGAGCAGAGGACCTGCAGTGAGCTTGCCTGGTGATCTTCGTTAAGGAGCCTTTTGGAATGTGGGGGTGGGGAAACGCAGGGGCTGGTTACCAGGAGGGGCCCTGCTCCGGCAGGGGATGCCCTGCGTGTGGCTGCGCCGGCCTATCGAAGGGAGTCTGAAAGTGTGGGTTGCTGCAATAGAGCCACCCCCCAGCAGCCTCCCCTCATCTCTTCCGTCGAGGTAGCATCATAATTTAAACTGATCTGGACAAACTGGAGAAATGGGCTGAGATCAATAGGATGAGGCTTAATAAGGACAATTGCAAAGTGCTCCGGTTTGGGCGGAACAATCCGTGTCGCACACACAGAATGGGAAGCGACGGTCTGGGAAGGAGCACGGCAGAGGGATCCAGGGCTCACAGTGGGCCACATGCTGAATACGAGTCAGCAGAAAAGCAAACAATTCTGGGCTGCGTGAACAGGAGTGTTGTGAGCAAGACACGAGGAGTCATTGCCCAGGGGGTTGTGGAATCTCCCTCCCTGGGGATATTTCAGAGCAGGTTGGACAGACACCGGCCAGGGATGGGCTAGACGGTGCTGGGTCCTGCCGTGAGGGCGGGGGGCTGGACTCGCTGCCTCTCGAGGTCCCTTCCAGTTCCAGTGTGCTGTTTGTAGGCACTGGAGTGAATTGCCCAGGGCGGTTGAGGAATCTCCTGTCGCCGTCAGGGATGGTTTCGAAGGTGCTTGGTTCTGCCCTGAGCAGGCCTGTGGACTGCAGGGGAGGGGGCTGTGGTGCGGTGGGGGGCTGTCTGCTCTATAATCCGGGGTCCCCCTGAGCTGGAGCGCTAGTACCCCACGGGCCCCTCCCATGAGCTCTGCACCTCGCCCCGTGTGGTGCAGTGGGGGGGAGGCTGTCTGCTCTGTGACCGGGGTCCCCCTGCGCTGGGATGGGAGATTCTCACCGACTCTCCCACTGTGGATTAACCCAGACACCCAGGCTCAGCCGCCCAGGGAGAGACAAAGGGAGGGGGGGGGGAGACCAGCACCTGGCTGGGGGCAGGGCCTGGGAGGGGGGCAGTGGCTGTCGGGGAAGCATGGAGAGAAGAGGCTAAGCTGGGGCCAAGGGGTGATGGACCCCAACCCTGGGGCAGAGACATCCTGGCCCTGGGCCCGGTGTATCCTGAAGGAACAATAAACCCCTCCCTGTTCTACCACTGCCCGAGTCTGTTCTTGCTGCAGCAGGGGTGCAGGATTCGGGGGGACCCCGACTCGCCACCACAGGTGCACGGAGCCCTTTAACACCCTGGCGCTCCAGTCGGCTGTCAGCCACCCAGGGAGGCGGGCACCACGCAACGTGCTCCAGGCAGTGCTGGGAGGCGGGCACCGTGGTCCAGGCAGCACTGCCCCTTGCAGGGGCGCAGAGCCAGCCCCTCCCACCTGGCCCCCCAGCCGCAAGGGCAGGGGATTTGCCTTATGACCTCTCGTGGTGCCTTCCAGTTGTGTGCTCCTATGCCCCCGACAGGCCGGGTGGATCACGTGCGCTCCAGCCCAGGGAGACAGCCTCCCTGCCGGTTTCCAGGCTGTCTGGACCCCCTCTGCTGCCCCGAGCTCATGCAGCTTTGCCTCTGTTGCAGGACAAGAACCGGAAGCTGCGCCCGCTCTACGACATCCCGTACATGTTTGAGGCCCGGGAGTTCCTGCGGAAGAAGCTCATTGGGAAGAAGGTGAGAGCCCGGGCTAGGATTGAGGGGCCAGCTGGGGGCAGGCCGGCTAGAGCGGTCCTTGGACCTCGTGGGCCGAGCTGACTCGACCGAGGAAGCCCCTTGCGGTGCAGATGCACCTGGTAGCACCCTCCTGGACGCTGGGGTGCCATGCCGGTGTCCCTGGGCTGCGGTGTGATTTCACCCCAGATTTAGCCTCCCCTTGTTGGGAGCGAGACTTGGGGAGGTTTAGGGTGCGGACTAGATTTCCCGATCCCCCGTTGGCTGGCTGCAGGCTCCAGACACGTGCGTGGGGAGAGCCGACCCCCCTGGGAGTAGAAGGTGCTGGGGAGAGATGCGGGAGTGCCCTTGGCCTAGGGGAGGGAAGAGGGTTCA